TTGGATCGATGCATCGATACAAAACGATTATTATTTACACCCCTAATGAATACCATTATAAACAGAATCTTACTAACAGATTTGTCCTATGAATATATAGATAACTAGTGTTATGAACTAAAAAAAAAAAAAAAAGGTTTTAAAGTTATGTACAATAGCATAATATACAGATGGAGTTTACTATAAAATTAATAAATAAAGTTTGGACAGAAGCTATCTAAATTAAAGTGCTGTGGAAGGTAATTGCATATTACAGTTAAAGTACGTTATTGCAAATATATATGTAAACAATTAGTACTGTAAATAAACAGTCAGCAGTGCAAATCAATATTCAGTCAAGGCGAGTAGTGCAAGATGCATGTAAACAGTTGTTACAATAGTAACAGTCAGGAGTGCAGGTGAACATTACAGTCTTGCAAAAAACAGAATAGCAAAATGGAGGTAGGTGTGAGGAGAGTCTATCAGTGAGGATTAGAGTTCAGTAAAGAGACAGCTCTGGGGAAAAAGCTGTTCTTTAGTCTGCTGGTTCTGGTCTGGAGGCACCTGAAACGCCTGCTGGAGGGCAGGAGAGCAAACAGTCTGTGGGCTGGGTGGGATGAGTCCTTAAGAATGCTACGGGCTCAATGTAGGCAGCTTTTCCCCTGGATGTGCTCAATGGTGGTAGTGAAGTTCCAGTGATGCGCTGGGCGGCTTTTACCACCCGCTGTAGAGCCTTGCGCTCTGCAACAGAACAGCTTCCGTACCACACTGTTACACAGTTGGTCAGGATGCTTTCTATTGCACAGCGATAGAAGTTTACCAGGATGGTTGAGGGGAGCTGATTCTTCCTCAGTGTCCTCAGGAAGAAGAGGCGCTGGTGAGCCTTCTTGACCAGGCAGGAGGTGTTGGTTGAACAGGACATGTCCGCTGAGATGTGCATTCTGGTTATCATAACCAGAATGCAACATATTTGTCTTATTTTGCCCTTCAAACAAGGGTGGGCTGAGCTTGACATTCAGCCAAGGAAGGGGCCTTTATTTCGACTGCACGAAGAACTAAAGTGGACCCATAGGACCCAATTTGGAACACCAATATTTAGCAGCATAAAACACTTTATTCAATTTACAAATAATACACATGTATATGTATTCAGTGATCGAAATAAACACTACTGTCAGTTTACAGTTTACTTAACAAGCAGCTCTAAATAAAAATATAAAAATATAAGCAAAATGTATAAAAACTAAACTATAACTTGGATTTATTTGTAGAGTGGATAGTCCAGCTCAGAAGCATGAAAACAAAATGATTCACTCTAATAAAGTTTCAAATCATCTGGACCATCTTAGAGATTCGTCCGTTGTTGCATGACTTTACTGCCACCGCTGTTTGCAAAAAAAGTTGCCACTAATTAAAGGGCTAGAATAAGGAAAAATTTGTCTCATAGTCTTTAAAATGTAATGTGAGCAGAACTAAGTATGATTCTAAAATAGCATTTTCTTAAAGGAAATCATGAATAAAGAGAAAAAGGAAAGACCCAGCAGAAGCTGGAAACTTACACCAGAGCTCATAGTAATAGCTGCAGCACTGGGATTCTCCACAGCAGTGTCCGTACTCGCAGAAGTAGCTATGGTTGTTGACGCCTTCACAGTGGATCAAGCTCTGCAACATGAGAACAGCAAAACATTTTGAAAGCAGGATTCATTCACACCAAAGCATACATCACATAGAGGTAATAATCGAAAACAGAAGCACAACACAGTCTCCTTTAGATTTGTCCAACTTCAGGTATAAATTCAGCTTTTGTCTTCACCTGCATACCTTAACAGCATTTTCCATTTTCCATCACAATCCATTGTTTCCATTTGTAACATATTCATGAATCCTAAATTGTCTGAACAATCCAACCTGATGGACTTCAACTCTGTTTTAGGTCGTTGTTTTTCATTTTTAAGAATTTCTGGGCGATAAAAGGCAAAAAAATATAAACAGAATCACTTAGTCGAGTGAAATCTTGCACCAGAAGTGATTCAACTCCCTCCAAGCATTCCTAAAATACTACATCTAACAGAAAAGGAGGAATTGTGTGGTCACACCGACCTAGACCGTTGACCAGGGAAATCTAATCTGTTGATCCTTGAGTCTAAGAGAAAGCCTCTGCCAAAGCTGAAAAAATTCCTTCGAGGCGTTCCACAGATATCCCTTTCATGGGAGGAGAAGGCTTTAGAGGAGTATAACGGATGGATGGACGAGCACGAGCAAAACATGAAGTGCTGCTCCCATGAGCGCCCATTAATAAGTCCTATTTCTGTATCTGACTCGCTATGAAGGGAATAGCCCTTTAAAATAGTAGAGTACAACCAGACCAGACCTGATAGAAGTTATGATACTGAACTTCCCATTAGGGATTATTAAAGTATTTTTGAATTGAAGGGAATTGTAATTATTGATTATTGACCTTTTACATGTTATTGTGCCTTTAGTCATCTGTTCCCCTTTGTTTAAAGAACTGTGTTGCTAACATAATAAACTAATGATGTAAGAAAAACACTGCCAGTAAATGTTATTAAAAATTGGATTCAGTTTGAGAAGCAAGGGGGAAAAAAAACAACCCGCTTTCTTATTTCTCAAAACACAATAAGTGTTTAGTGAAGGTCTTATTATAAAACGGTGCTGCTAGGTTTGACCTCATGCAGTTTTGTTCTTTTCTAATTTGACTTTTCCCTTCAAACGAGGCATTGACCCATCCAGCAGTCAACACCTGTACCGGTGATCCTTTGCCCCTGCTTTTGCATATTGACAAAACACGCATTTGTGAAATTGTTGTTTAATATTGCAGAGACAGCAGATGATTAACCTCAATTTTCCTCAGTCTTCTATTTGTTTACCATCAACACACTGTCCTTACCACTATTCATGAGCTTAAGCAGTTCAGCCACTAAGATCCACAGGTGTGGCCATAGCAGGCAGCGAAAGCTGTCCAAATAGCCAAATATATCATTTAAAATGCAGAATATGCATGCATTACAACTGTGAATAGCTTACCAAGCACTGTTCCTATACATTATAAACCCTGATGTCTTCATAATGACTCAGATTCGACATATTGTGCAGCTCCAACTTCAGATTTATAAATATTTCTAAAAGTTAGCCATGTTTGATCAATTTTCCCAGTTTCTTTTTTTGATTAGAACAAACAATACATGGATATAAAGTGCAATATAATATCTTTATAAGATAATATCAAATTGGATGCAAAATAAAATCTTGTTACTTATCTTCATAACTAATTCAAGTAAGTACCTATGAAGATACATAAACTGATACAAGATATTGAAGTACACGGATATAAAATAGCATGTTTAGCAGCATGAAACACAATGAGGTTCAGACAAATCAGCGAAACAAAAAGGTGAGAAAATGCATCTATAATATTTCTTTAAATATTTTAATGCAATGTTTAAATTTTTTTTCATCGGGAGGTTATCAGTCTAGGGCTGAAACAATCAGTTTAATTGATTATTGAAATAATCATCAACTAATTTGCAGATGAATAAACATCTACCCCTTTTCAAAAATATATGTAAAAAAAACAAACACATTTTAAGTTCTAATTGCAAGTTTGTTTCAGTACCAGCATAAATAATGACGCTCAATTTGGCGACAAAGGTTAGAAGCTCCTTTTCTAGGTGTGGAAATGCCTAAAACTAAACGGTAGACCACATGTATTGAAAGACTCACCAATTCTAAAAGCTTAGCTTTGGTATTGTTGGTTTAACATTGTTTTATTCGATAAATTCGACAATTTTCCTAACCCATAATCCCATGAAAGGTTTGATCCCTGTCAGCACAAAAACCCTTAACGTCATCTCCAAGAAGTAACAGACAATTTAAACCTAAAACATTGACGGGTCATCTGTAATAAGGTCACTTGCAGCAGAAATTCTCTACACAGTCTTTTCCCCTTCAGCTGTCTGCTATTTGTTTTCATTGTCAATACAGCAAACTTGCAGCCTGGTAAGAAGTTAACCAAACAGAACCTGTTACTGATACCTATCAAAGAGGGTGAAGAGCTATAAAAGTAAAAGAACAAGACAGAACGACACAGAGAGCCCTGATACACAGTACTGTTCAAAACAGCATTTCATAAGAACTGATGGGCTTTTCTTAGAAAACCTTCTAGACTTCGTCAAAACTTATCTTACTGCTGAGGAATCAGAGGTTATACATAAAGATAAGCATCCATTTTGATAGATTACCATTGTAGGTCTTTGACAATCCAGGATCCAGACAGCTCCCCTTTATCTAATGAATCATTATCCCGCAGAAAAAAGTCAAAAAGCTCTTCAACATACCCACTCTGCCTGTGCCTACTTTCCACTGCCGTCTTCAACCCTACCCACTGAAACACTCCCACACACCCCCACGCCCTCAGCCCACTGCAGTCCAGCCCAAACACCGAACAAGGATTGCTTTACGGAAATTTCCAGGCAGCAGCTGAAAACAAGCTCCTGGCTGCATCGCTCCATGATAGCAAGGTGGTGAAAGGAGTGAGTCGAGTGTAAGACACACATAGAAAGAGAGAGAGAAATAGACAGAGGAGAAACACAGGAATGATGGGTAATCGTAGATGACGTATCAGGTCAGAACAAACCAAACTATCAGCTGCGTTTTAAACCATCAGATGTTTCCATTTACACAAAATATATTAAAAAAACAAACAAACACAGGCACTCGGTGAAAAGGTGTAAAGATCACATGATGCTCTGCCTCTCTGTGCTGAAACAACATCTGCTGTTCTCCTGACCCGGTGTTCTGAGACATGAGGCTTTCAGGCTGTGCTGGTTCTGCAGCGCCGGCCTATAAGCATCTAGCTTGGTTTTAAAGGGCTGATCAGACAAATAGGACAATGTTTTTCTCTACGCTTTGCGACAGGCCTCCTGACTAATTCAGCTTGATATATTGATCTCTCTCTCAGAGATTTGATACAGAGCTTCGTGTAAGGTTGGCTGTGACTCAGAATACCTGGTAAGACTGAATGCTGTCATTGTGATGAATGTTTTAAGCTGCAGAGAGTCTATGTTGTGTTTGTTGGAACAGCTTTCAACTGTCCAGGACAACTTTATCACAAGGGAGACCAATAAGGTGTCGACTCCGTTAGATCTTCTATGCAGAAGTAGTTTACTTGACCTTTGCAGCTAAAATAACATGGAACTCCTAAAAAAATGTATTTACAGCAGTTGAACAGTAGCTCCAAGGATTAGATCTTTAACAAACAGAATAAAAAAAAAAAATACAGAAGAGAGACACCATCTTTAAGATAATCAACCCAAATCTACCCCAAAGCTCTGTGGGTGCTTAAAAATTACAGAGCAGCTACTTCTGTGCAATGACAGCACTGTTTATGGTGGATATTGTTACTTTTCACTATCAATACTGTGTTTTAAAATAAAGGAAGATGTTTAAAATGTGTTTTAAAAAGTGTTATAGTCATCATTTTAAGAAGTGTCAAAAAAATGTTCAACTAAAACATTATGATTATATGATCATTTTAAATATGCTAATGCTTTTTAAGATTAGACTATTTAGGCATACAAATCAAAAACCTATTCTGCAAATATACCTGCTAAAATATGGACCAGTCTGGAATCGCCCAGCGAAAGGAAAAGAAATCAGAACAGTTTAATTTATCGGTTGGAGTGTTAATATTTTAATATTTTGATAATCCATTATGTTGTTCAGAACAATTTAGCAAAAAATAATAATTGAGATTTACTGCTTCCATTTTAAACAATCAAAACATAACGCCAAATGTAGATAATCTGATATACTTTTATGGTCATCATTTTAAGAAGTGTCGTAAACATTTTTCCTTTTGCATGTAGAAGTTTAGCTTCAAAAGATCAAAAACCTTTTGTGACTGGGGATTAAATAGTATTGCTGTATATTTCACTCAGCTAAACTTGACATGAAGCTAACGCCGTACTGAAGATGCAGAAAATGGATCCTAAACAAATACATAGGAGAAAATATTTATTTTAGAATCTAAACTTTTCTTTCTAACATTTTAAGGCTCGGGTGAACAATAACTTGATACAGATAAAAACTGCAATATAATTTGGTTCAATAACTGTGATGTAACAAATATCTAAATATTTAAACAAATTTCTAATGTTTCAATATACAACATAATATATGATGATAGCAATTGTCTCCGATTGACTGTTTTTTATAGGTTTTTTTTTTAAGCAGATATTTCTACAAACGCATATTTAAGGACTTTTATAAACTTGGCATAATGATTGTTATAGGTTTATTCATGCATGTATTGTGGACTTTAACAGTTTTTCTAAGGCTTTTATTTTGTCAATATCAATATTGAAATTATGTCATACGGACCTTAAGAAAAAGAAAGCACAACAACTTCGCTCTGACTGAAAACACTCAACGTAAAAATTATTATTAAATGCAGGGAACTTAAATTTAGCAACTTGCTCTAACAGCACATATGTAAAAAAATAAAGAGGCAGAGATGTAAGAAACAGTTTAAAAATTTAATGTAGTTTTTATGGTTTGAATAAAGAAATGAAAGTATCTAAATTCCAAGAAAAACTGACAGACAACTTTTTAACTGTGCTTCTGGAGATGTTTTCAAATGTTGTCAAACATTTTCTCAAACACTTAAAGATCTCAGACAGATTGTCAATCAAAAATATCCAATGATCTGCTTTAAAACAAAAATAAATCAAACTTAAACAAGGAGGCTTTTTAAGCCTGCATCACACAGGACAGCAAATCTTTAAAAAAAAACAACTTCTAAAACATCTAAAGAAAAACTGAAAGTCATTCAGGAAAGCCCAATGAAGTGCTAATCAATACAATCTAAAAACATCACAACACATAGTTTTGGAAAGTATCTAGACTTTTAAGGCAACAAAGCACCAGTTCTTAAAAATACACATAGTGAACAGAATTTGCATGAGATTCCCCTGCATACCATCCACACATGCAACAACCAAACAATCCTCATCTCTTAATCCTGGCAAACAGATTAAAACCCAGGTTTGGTTACCATGCCTGAAGCACAATATAATCAACCTTAATGAAAAACTGCTGAGAGCTTCAAATCTCTGGGGGATTGTCAGATACTGCGTCTGGAGATAAGAGTCTGCAGCTCTTTGTCAAATCCCAACTGCACCGCTAAAAGTGATCCAACATGTAAGACTATACGGCAGTCAGTCAGCGCTCAAGGAGTCCTTCATTGAACACTTAGTTGTTAATCCGATCTCCAGTGGAATAAAGAGATCTTATCACCATCAAGGTCATTTAAAAGCTCAGCTGATGCAATCAATCTGTAGCTCCTCCTAAAACCAAAACACACATCTGGAAAAGGTGCTCTAAAAATCTGCTTGTTTAGCTTCCCTGCACATAGTTTTCTCTGTACTAAAGAGAGATTATGAAACAAAATACTGAACGCAGACTGTATCCTGCAACAATGAGGGTCCAGAATTTAATTGCGATGGTGCATAAAACAATCAACCACTGAACGAACTCACCGTTTCAGACTTCTTGTGAACTAATCTGCTGATTTTTTAGAATGTCAAGCTCAAGTTTCCCCACTTCATAGATGTTCAGAATGGGAGAGCACATCTTCATAGTAAAATGCAGTGTAGAGGTGTAGTATACAATTTGATGTAGAGGACTTATCTGAACAATTGTTGACAAGTTTGTTACCATTATCGTATGGACCAGTCTAGAATCGTCCAGGGAAAGAAAAACGAAACCAGAACAGTTTAATTCAGCAATTGGAGTGTTAATATTTTATAGCTTGGCGTTAATCAATTATGTTGTTCAGACCAATTTAGCAAAAAATAATAACTGATATTTACTGCTTCCACTGTAAATGATCAAAACATAACGCCAAATGCAGTTAATCTGATATTCTTTTATGGTCTTTCAGGTTAATAACAAAATGTGTTCAGTAGTTGATATAAATACAGGGCTGCCAACTCAACATCCAGAGAAATGCTCTTTTGTGTCATGGTGAGTTTTTAAAAAATATACAGTCTCCTATAAGGTCTGAATTAATTAGCTGTTTTGTCAATTGAAAGAAAAACTAACAGCATAATGAAACTTTTTTATCTTTAGCCTTTTTACCAAATATTCATACACAGTGATGTTTGCATGGCATTCGATTGCACTGGTTCCTGTATTAGTGCCAGTAATCCAGTGTTAATATATTAGTTTCCCATTGTTAATTTTACTTAAACTGCAAAGAATAATTAATAAAAAAAGTTGTGAAATTCTTAGTTTAAAGTATATTTAAGACGCAATTATTTTAGTAGGGCCCATTCTGCTTTACTTCAATTCTCTAAAAATCACCAGAAAGTAGAAAATAATGTATATTGTGAGAAAAATGATCAACATAATTGCAGATCACTTTTTATTACTCAGTAATATTTACTGTGCAATAAAAATCTCACATTCTGACACTTTGTTTCAGTTAAATCCTCTGAAAACCTCCTATAGCTGCCTCTATCCTCAGAGCATTTTGATCTGACAGGTTTTCCTGTCCAAACTATTTATAAATCTCACCCTAAGGTTTGGTGAAAAGTTGACAGCCCTGTAAATATTAACAAAATAATCAGGAAACCTGTATTTTTCCACCACTACGAAAAGAAAATAAAGAAAGTTAATGACAGTTTTTGGTGCTAGAAAAGGTAATGACCTGATTGTCAACAATGAAACCGAAATCTAACAGTGTTTTGTCAAACTTTAAATGAAAACTCTACATATATTAGTAAAAAACACGGATTAGCAGGTGTCTTATCGGCTCAAAATACAGCCTGTGGGGTTCTGTGGCTACCTTACCTGTTGGAGAGCTGCTAATGTTGTTAATTAAACTTGGCAAAGTATAAAACCCTCAACTATAAACAGCAGCAAGGCCGCGGTAGCTTATTAGCTTTAGTCTTGCTAGCTGTTAGCCGTAGAAGCTAACAGCTAGCAGCCAGTTGGTGAATCACTGCTAAGTTAAGTTCAGCCGCTCGCGGTAGTTAGTCTCCCTAAAGAGTAACTAAACTAACCAACTCGTTATTTATATGATGTAGCAGGTTTAGAAGTAGCTCATATGTTAAACCTTTCGAATTGTTTTTTCTACGGCTAGCAGCTCTATGTGAGAAGCTGGTGTTTAAAGCTTACCTTCTCTGCCGGGGACTCGGTGCTGCTGACAGAGCCGACAGCGTGCAAAAACAATCCCATCCTAAGAGCCGAACATACGCCTCTCATTCCTCCAAGAAGCAGTGATGGGAAAACACACGCATGTGTTGTTACAAAGTGGCTCCCCGAATGTCCACAACTAGTACCCTGCTAGCTTTACACTGAGAAACACTGTATGCGCCTCCTCCTCCTCCTGCATGTCAACAAGGAGAGCCGCTGGAGCAACTGGTTGGTGTGCTGCTGCCTGCTACAGCTATTACACAATAGCACAGGCGTCAAGTAACAAAGTACAAATACTTCGTTACTGTACTTAAGTACACTTTTTAGGTATCTATACTTAACTTCATTACTTATATTTCTTCCTACTTCTGACTTCAACTCCTTACATTTTAAAACAACTATCTGTACTTTCTACTCCTTACACTTTTAAACAAACGTTACTCGTTACTCTTGGCTTAAGTTTCATTTTTATAAATATTTATCTCACGTCATGTTCGCCATCCTCATCTAATGAAAACTACTGTAATTGGATGAGTCATATAACTACGGAAGAGGATTAGGGCCACTGGAAAAAAAAAAAAAAAGTAAACTGATTTTTAAATTTTATTTCAGTTTAACATGGGAAAAAAAGTCAGAATTCTGACTTTTTCCTCATACTATACTGAAATAAAATAAAAAAAATCAGTTAACTTTTTTTTTTTTTTCAGGGGCCCTAATCCTCTTCCGTATATAACCTGAGGCGTAGCTAGAAAAATTTAATAAGGGTGGCCAGGGAGAATGTACACAGGGGGTGGCAAAAAGAGGACGCGCCAAAAGCTCAGGGTCAATCTACAATGTTCCAAAAGGAAAATTAACAACCACAACATCCATATTTTCTAAATAAAGACTAACTATAATTTCCTACAGCCTTTACTAAAACATAGACACATATATTTAAACATCCATGCTGTCTAAATTAAACGTGTAGTGGAGTTCTGGGACAAAAATCTTATTCACTGTCATTCTGAATAAAATTCATATTTACATGTACTAATATCTAAATTAAATGGATTACTTATTATTAAAATAGTTATTCATCTCTGATTTCACAGAAGGCTCATAGATAACTTGCAGAGACATAGGCTACTTTCACACTGCAGCCTGAAGTGACCCAAATCTGATTTTTTTTTGCCCATATGTGACCTAAATCTGATCTTTTCATGGCAGCTGAACAACACAGATCCAATGAGACCCAGGCCACTAGCTATGTGGTCCTAAATCCGATACGAATCTGATCTTTTCAAATGCGACCTTTGTGTGAACGGCCAGGTCGCATTTTTCCGATCTGAACGTCAATAATACCCGACGAAGGTCACTATTCTGCGTCTTGCTATACAGAAGCGGCAAGAAAAACAACAACCATGGCAGATGATGATGCGGAGAGCAGTATTTATGTTTAACCATATTGAAAAGATTGTGTTTTTATGGTTGGAAAAGATCGCTAGATACGCGCCGGCGCTACCATCCATGTTTATTTCCAGAAAAAAAGAGCATGCTGGCCTGTGACGTTATTGCATCCTCTACTGTGCATGCGGGACACTTGGGTTGTATGAATGCAGTTCACACAGGATATCACATACAAGTCGCATATATTTGGAAATATGAACGGCAACACAAAATAATCGGATTTTGCAAAAAAATCGTAATTGAGAATCAAGGCTTGCAGTGTGAACGTAGCCTGAATTTTCTCTTTACCCCATAAGACAAACGGGCATGTATCCCTTTAGTCATGTATAAAAAAACAAACAATTTAAGGTCAGATTGCCAGACGCTTTAAAAAACACCAAAATAATAAAATATTTATTTTTTTTTTATTTTGGCAATGAAGTTTCAGAGATCAATACAGTAAAACATCAAAGGCCGCAGCTCAGATTCTTTTATTCTCCAAAATAATTTAGCAATTAAAACATCCCATTTACATTATGTTCAACAGCGAACAGCAGTTCTTTTTGTATAATTCCTGATTCAGCTTTCATTAAAAACATTAATTCATTATTTAATTATTATTTCTCCATTTCTAAAAGCAAGTCTCTTGCGTTTACCAGTCCCTTTCTTGCGGTGGTCTGTATGGTATCCCTAAAAGACTAAAGACATCCTTCTCTGTCGGCGTGGGAAGCGGGGTACCGCCGTGTACCTTCAAGCTGCCTTGACGTACCACATCCTTGTTCAGGGAGTGCTCTGACAAGCTCATGTTTTTGGTCTTTGCCAGTGCTCTCATTGAGCGGTTGAAGTGGGCCGAGCCAGTGAAATACATGAGCGAGCAAGCAAACTCGTCGTATGGCACCACGATGATGTCCAGCCTGCGGTGGCGGCGGCCGGGCCCCGGCAAACGGCACACCCCCATGTATTTCTTCTGCTCTCCGTTCTCCTCGTGGCTCACCAGGTCATCTGTTAGAAACCCTTTAATAATATAGATTTAGGGTTTTTCTATTTAAAGAAATGAGAACATATAATATTTTGCCTTATGATGAAAGACTCACCACTGCCATGCAGAATCTGTAAAACTTTGCTGAAAACTCCTCTATGGGAAATGCCGTCAGGGTGAGAAATGAGCACATCCACATCTCCACACGTTGCCTTCCCACGGCGGTAGGAGCCACATGCCATGGCCACGAGGTTGGCATCAACAGTGTGCGCAGCATCCCTCACCTGCACAGTGCAAATAAGACAAGGAGGAAAGGTAAGTATACCCACTTAGCTCTCATTTGATTTTTGACAAACACCTCTACTTGGTTTGCACAGCTTTTAATAAATATTATTATTAATATAAGAAAGGAGAATAAGGGGCTTTATAGATTAGATTCATACAAAAATAGTGCTATAGAAATATAAATAAGAATGGCCTTTCAATAAACAGATACTCTGTCGTCCTCTATTCCCAAGCATGTTTTGATTGTCTGATTCTACAGACAATCCATGTTTGGATTGTCTGTAGAATCATTACTAACAGACAAATATTTAATTATATAAACTTTGCTCACACTAAAGGTAAATCCAAGATACAACATTTGACTGATATTACAACTTAAAGCAATCCACTTAGATGTCAGATTTTCTTGCCTGTTTTATATTAGATTTTACTGGATTCTTATGTGTACATACATACATATGATGATGTTTTAAATTTTGTGATGATACTAATAAAAGACTAGAAAAGCACTATGAGAGCACAGACCTCCGTCAACCAGCAAATTCTGCCCAAATTGTGACAGCTATAGCTATAACCAGAGATGGGAAGTAACGAAGTACAAATACTTTGTTACTGTACTCAAGTAGATTTTTCTGATATTTTTACTTTACTTTACTACTTATTTTTATGGCGACTTTTTACTTCTACTCCTTACATTTTTACACAAATATCTGTACTTTCTACTCCTTACATTTAAAAAAATTGTCTCGTTACTTTAGTTTTGAATCATTTCAATGGAGTTACCGTTATTATTTTTCACGTCATCAATACCAAATTCAATCTAATTGGATGGGAATCTACGTTGCATTTGACGCACCACTACAAGATGAATCGACAGATTCGGCGGTATTCATTGGCGGCAAATCATTGCAGCTTGGTGGCGGTGGCGTTAGCATAGTAGCATGGACGACGAGATGATTGAAAATGAACACAACGGAGATCTAGTCCTATTGGCAGACATCCATTTAAACTGTAGGCAACGGCATGAAAAAAGTGGTTTCTACTTTTACTTTTATACTTTAAGTAAATTTACAAGCCTGTACTTTGTTACTTTTACTTGAGTAATGAAGTTTAATCAGTACTTCCACTTTTACCAGAGTATTTTTTAACACAAGTATCTGTACTTTTACTCAAGTACGGAAAGTGAGTACTTTTGCCATCTCTGGCTATAACTCACACATGATCTGGATCATTACCAAATTTTAATGAATTGTTCCTTGGCATGCGGTGCACCTCTCGCGAAAATCCATTCAAATATCATTTTAGAAAGTGTGCCAAAAACCACAACATTGCTCCATTTACTTTGTTTTTGTCTAGAGTATAACATCTCTGACTTTTTGAGTTCGATGTTGAGGCTGGCACACTCTGGTTTAGGGGGAAATTGCTTGTTCTGCTAAATATCCCTATCTCAATCCAATTCAGTTTATTTATATAGCGCTAATTCACAGCACATGTCATCTCAAGGCACCTTTCAATTCACCAGATCACACAGTCAAACTGATTCAAAGTTTTCTAAGGAAAACCACTCATTGACTCGGATGCAATCCCTCACACTAAGCATGCTTGTAGCGACAGTGGAGAGGAAAAACTCCATTTTAACAGGAAGAAACCTCCAGCAGAACCAGGCTCAGTGTGAGCGGCCATCTGCCGAGGCCGACTGGGTTTCAAGGAGACAGAAGCAGCTTTAACAATATTAAAGAATCCTTTTTAAAAAATGTCTATCAAAATTTAATGAATTGGTCTTATGGCATGAGGCGCACCTCTGTTAAGCATTCAATTAAAATCTGTTCATAACCTTTCAAGTAATCCCAACAAAAACAACTGAAAACATTAAAAACAAGAAGAAAATTTATTTATTTTTATAATAAAATGAGCTTTTTTCAGTTGATTGAAACAAACAAAAAAGAGAGATTTAATAACAATAGGCTTGGCGCAAGTAGAGCAAAGTAACATGGCTATGTAATGCAATCACAAATTCCTTTTTAAAACATGCATATTGTAAAGAACTGCAATAAATGCATTGAATAAATTCAGTGCATCTCCCTGCACTGAGGTGCTCTGATCCCCTTTACATATTAAGGGATGGTTGTTTACTTTAGTACAGCACAAAAGGATTTAGAGGGTAAAGAGGTGGTCAGTCATAGGGTGCATCATCATCAAGACATTCAGAAATATCATCACACGTTGCAAAAAAGGTATTCTGCAAATTTTTTGATATTCTATTAAAACAACTTCAAGAATTGTTTTATTTTGTAGACTCTCCGTCCCCCAAACCAGATAATGTTTTTCATCTTTTTCCAGCCAAATACTGGGAGGTTTGCTCCTTAAATATACATTTAAGCTGAAGGAAGCACACATGCTTTGACCATCTATATCATCTGCAATCTATCAGTTAGTCTTGGATGTAAAAAACATAGTCTTGGTATTAGGATCTGAAAGCATCTGCATCCTTCAGATGTATGGACCGTGTGTGAGTGAGTTAGGAGTTATCTGGCAAACTTAAGATGTGGCAGGTCTCAGGATTTACTGTTCCCTTCAGGGATGCTTTGGATTCAAAAGAAAATCTGCATTTCCCATTAAAACTGTTAAGAACAGCAGAGCCAAACTTTTTTCTTATTTCAGGGCAACAATTTTTTTAAATTCCTCAAAGTCCAAGGGGGATTTATCTCAGCTCCTTGCTCGACACAATGAAGTGATTAAAAGAACAAATATGTTTGCCAGAGGATAATACAAGTCTGAGAGTCACACATTAATATTCATTACCACTTTCTCTATCGCTGCCGCCTCTTCTCTAGGCATTCGGTCTAGAAAGTCATCGTAGTGCTTAAGTCCGATTTTCTGAGTGTGGCTCAGGTGGGCTTTTGTTTGGATATCCTCCAGGCTGCGAAAGCCCTGCAACACAAATCAGAGCATTTAACTATTTGACATTTAGACACAGTGATTCATAAATATATATATATATATAAACTTTTATAAATAAATACATAAAACAGGTATATATTAAAAACTTTAGAGCAGGACAGTTAAAATTACCAACATATTCAATTTACACTGTAAGAAAAAAAGAAATAATGTGAATTAAAATATTTACTGCCATTATATTTTAGGTCACTGTTTCTATACATTTTGGATAGTTTAGAAAAATTATAAAATGGAATAAATCATTAAATCTGAACCATATCATTACCAACCTTTTCCAGAACAGATATTTAGAGTGAAAAAAATATATGAACTGTTAAAAACTGTGGAGTATATAATAATAAGCAAGAACCAGAAAAGCACTCGGGGAGAGAAAACCTCTGCCAAATTGCTAATTTACTCTGAAATATTGTGACTTCCACCTTTAGTTAATACATGTATTTACAGAATCTTTCAAAATATTCCTGAATCCAGATGGTGATCATCATCATAATGTAATTATTTAGATTTTATACAATACGCATCTTCCCTGTGAATTTCAGCAAAATCTGTCCATGTTTTTGTTATTTTGAAAATACCAACAGAAAAAACCTACACCGATGAAAACAACCTCCTTGGTGGAGGTAAAAAAGCTGTAAATCCAGTTATTTTATCCAAAATTGGACTTTAAAACAACTGCACCGACCTGCTGGAAAATGCTTCAAGGAGACATTTCTATGGAGCAAGATGGGTCTCGATTTTCATAAATACACTCATTAAAAATGCCATAACTACTATATAGTGATTAGGGCAGACATTCGGACATATGCCAGAGTATGAATAATGTTTTGTACCTGTTGGTACCAAAGTTGTGCAGTCTTTGCTCCTGCTCCCCAGATGTTGGTGAAAAGCTCCAAGACAGGCACAGCCTCTCCGATGTAATCCAGCTTCCTCAGGTGACCACTCTCCATTATTTCTTCTATTTTGTCCGCCATGCGTTTTCCTATTCCTGGGATCTGACAGGCTTCCTAATACCAATGGAGGGATGAGGAAAAAAAGGTTGATACCTCGCTAACTTACATATACAACATATGCATATACATATTGTACACACATATGCATATTCATATACATATGTTACAACCACAAATTCAAAATTTAAGTTCAAATAGTTACCTTTCAAACCTTTAGGAAATTCAAACTACAAAAGAGCTTGAAATTCAGAATTACAAGTTGAAATGTCAGAGCAACGCAAACAAATCCCAATTAAGCATTTAAGATGGCTGCTACTGGCATCAACAGTATTTAAATGTTTGTTATTTTATAGTTTTAAGTAGTTCATTATTCGTGTGATAGCCACTTTGTTCTTTTTTAAAGCTTATAAGTCAAGATGTTTAAACAGTTCATATGTGCAGCATACTGTTTAAAGCATTGTTTTATCGTCATTGATTGTATTTATCGAGTATTATTTTTGATCTTTAATAAACTGACTGCAACATGAAGCATCCATTATGCACACATAATAAACACGTAAAATAATTCTATATGCGTATATTTATGAATACATTTTAATTTATTTTATTAATTTATTTAACCAGGAAAAAAATCCCTTAGAGATTAAATACCTCTTTTTCAAGGGAGTCCTGGCCAAGAGGCAGCAAAGTTACAGAACATACATTAACATAGATACTTAAAAATAAATGTAAGGTACATATCTACCACTTATTGTTTATTCATATTTAATTGGGTTTCTTTCAAACTGTGGAGTTGTGCACAGGGGTCTCCTGCTGTTCAACACCTGTAATAAACGGGGATGACGTGGGTGCGGCCCGTTCAGAACGTAGATCAGAGGGAAATGCTCTATGGAGTCTGATCAGCTGATAACTATCATCCTCGGTCAGGAAACATTGGTAACCCCTGAAAATATGTTCCCTCCTAGTCAGATGTTTTTCCATAGGTGGTTTGGCAGTATTTAAATGTTTACAATCTGTTAATTCTAGGGCTAAATCGATTAATTAGATTAATCAATTATTGACATAATTGGCAACTCATATAGTAATCGATTAACCGTTAACTGGAGTATAAAGACTCTAAAACATGCCTTTGGCTGACAGAGCAACCCCCTTAGAGCAACAATTACACCAAAATTGCAAAACAAATATATACAAACATTTTGCACTTAAGATTAAAAAAAACTTTCTTCTGTCAATGTGCTCTATCCAGAATTCCTCTAATGGAAAAGGTTCAGTTTCACTGGGTTTAATTGACCTTTGACCTTCAGATATATATATATATATATAAAACTATTTTAAAAATTTATTTGCAAAATAACTGCTGGTTTTGCACCCTTGTTAACTTGTAACAACTTGTTACAACAAAATGGCCAAGCTGATAAAAGGTTGGTAGTAGGGCTGACAATTTATTATGTAATGTTTGAATACAGTTAGGTTACAGTTTTAAAATGGCCTTTTTCCCCTTATCTTAGTTTCAAACAGGCAAAACAAAAAAACTAATCAATAATGAAATTGACTAATATGAAAAGGCTGATATAAGATACATTTGAGTCATATTGAATAGCTCTAGTTTAAATCCTACATTTATGTGTACAGAGGGCCCCATCAAAATGGCTACTAAAAATAAAGAATTTGTAGCAATACTTAAAAACGTTAACGTATAGCTGCACGGATTATGGCAAAGAAGAATGGGCCATATTTTTAGATTTTCCTGCGCTAAGTCTGTAGAGGCATCCCTTTAGACTTGCAGCTATAATCGCAGCACAAGGTGTTTTACAAGATGGTTATAATGTTCTATTAATGCAGAGTGGCTGAAAATAAATGCAAAACACACTTTTCAGATATTTATACATTCAGAAAAATCAAGATTACTTTTCTAAACTACCCAATTATGCAGGAGATTTTGTTGACCTCCCATAAAAAAAAAAATAAAAAAAAATACATCAGAGCCTCTGGTCATCATTATATGACAGATGATGAAAAGTTTAAAACAAACATTTTTGCTAGTTTATTGTATAATCTCACAATATTACTGATTATAGAAAATCCCCCAAAGATGATAAGCATTAGTTTTTTAACACAGGTGAGAGTGAAAGCTACCTGATATGATGTCACAGGCTTGTGATAGCTCTTCAGTGCGTTGACCGCCTTAGAGTAGCCCAATGCTCTCCACTTGTCTCCTTGGTGAGTGTAGGCCTTGGACAGGACTTCCAGCTTGTCTGTGATGTGCTTGTTGAAGTTATTACTTTTGGACTGAGAAGACTGAGCACAGACCCACTTTCCTGATATGGGTTTCTGAGCATCAGCATCTGGAGCGCAGTTTGCACCGGCTTTGGGAGTCTCCTCTATAGGGTTCCGACCGGAGATGAGAGCTTCCAGGTCGTTCTGAGAGACGCCATCTTCTTCTTTGTGGGCTTCATCTTTGGCTTCTTGGATTGTCTGGAGGAAGGTGTAAAATAAAACAATGCTTGCTTCAAGACTTAATGGTTGACAGGAGCAAATATGCTGCCAATTCATGGAAACTTACCGGGTCTATGGTCTCCTCTTGCTTGGCCAAATGACTTTCTGGCTCTGCGGTTGTTTCAGGAGGTTGTTCAATGCTTCCCGGTTGTTTTTGTGGACTTTCCTGCTGTGATTCAGAATCCCTTATAGGAAAACATTCAAATTGATTATTACATCTAATAAATTGAGTGGCAAAAAGGATGTCTAAGTGATTTGGTAAAAACCTTTTGGGTAAAAGTAGGCTGTAGTTCTCTTCATCCAGGAGTTTCTTCTCACTGATACACAAGCTTAACCATGTACATTTCAGCAGATGGACACCAGAGGGCAGACTATCCACCTTCAGCAGGCGCAGAGCCCTGGCACTGTCCATGGAGTCATCAACGACCACATGAGTGACACAGGGGGACATTGAACTCTTGATTTGTCCTCCATTTTGCCGGATCTGTCTGTGGAAGATCTCACATCTGGCGTTTCCTATTCCAGCAGGCAGAAGGTACACTGTGACTCCATCGAAGACGTTTCCTGAAATGGAAAAGGAAACAATACATTACAACTTGGCACAATTAATATTATTCATAACACATTATCTTTTCCCAATTTTTAACAAAAGATGCAAATCTCTTTGAAATTTAGTATGATTCGTCTTTACTGCTGGATTGAAATGAAACTAGATAGTTTCAAACATTTAGCAAAGAAAAACCTCAGGTGTGGTATGCATTTGTCCTGTGTCTCCTCTACACAATATTTTGTAAGACAACATTTTATCACAGCAATTTTTTTTTTTAATACTTAGACAACTTACACTGTCATCTTGTGTACACAGAGTGCATTCAAAACGAAATTCCGTTTAGTAAAGTATTCTAGACAGCAAAGAAATGCATTGATATGGAAGTTCAGAACATTAATGTATACAGTGATAATTATGCAGTATTTTTGGTTTGGTGTTATCAATGTGATGCAGTGTGTGACTTTTTTCACTATTTGAGTCCACTATTTTCCTTCACTAACAGCCTTTTCTACATGTCAGTGTCCCCTACTTGGCCTGAGCCATGGAGAAAGTGCTGTATATTGACCCCAAAAAAATAATTTGACAAATCTCAGATTAAGTTAATACTTACACAGTGCATTGGTATGTCACCATTTGTATTATAATTAACCTGATTTATACAGGGAATTTCATTCAGATCCAAGATCTCATTTTAAAAAGAGACCAGTTATGTATTTTATAAGACAGGAAGCTATACTTCTGTCTTTTGTTTTTATAATGAGATTTTTTTTCCTCCAGATAATCTTCAAATGTAGAATATGGAGATGAAAAATAGCCGAACGAAGAAGAGAGATGGAGCTTTTAACTTAAAGGTATAGTGAAGGATTTTTGCTAATTTTTGAGAAGACCCGCCCTCTCCAGTTTAAAAGCTAAGATGCACATGCACAACCCTGTACCTGCTCCTCAGAGGGAACGCCTGTTGAACGCGTGCAAGAGCATGAGGGAGGCCATTTCTCCTCGTGCACGCTCTGTTTAAAAGTTGCTGTTTGCATCGCTCATACAAGCTTACTTTCCAAAAAATTTTTTTAATTTTTCCTCTATGTCAGACTCACCACCGGAACGTGAAAATGGGACAAGCACATAGGATGGCCTTATGTAAACATATCAACAGAATGACTGACAATTAGAAGGACCACTTATTTTGATGATCCACCTAGAAAAAGAACATCCTCCACTATACCTTTAAGCACACATGAAAGAAGATGAGTTAAAAAAAAACAACAAAAACAAATTTTTAAGAAAAAAATAATAATACATTAAAATGCAACTAGGAAGAGGTGTCTAAACCATTTTTTGCACATGGGCCAAATTTGTAAAGTAGTAGTGCTTGGCAGCCAGAATAATCTCATATTTGAATATAACCACATAAATGTATTAAATTATTATGAAATGAAACAAATAAAGTCTTACTTAGGTGAAAAATTGATCTCTAATTTATTTTATAGCTAAAATATATAAAAAGAATCTATGCCCTCTCTGTTTTATTAAAGAAAAAATGCACATAATTTCTGAAATATCTGGGTAAGTTGTTATAGACTATTCTCGGCTATAGGAACAGGGTATCGATCTATACATTTAAAAATGTTACCCTCGATTTAGCAACTGCTTTTGCTGGTTGGTCAGATTTATACTACTCTTGGATTGCAGGGCGGCACAGAACTCATTTCCAGGCTAACAAGCAGTCTCCAGTTTGCCCTGTGGAAATCCTGCATTTAGTGATGTCAGTAAATTCAGACTTTCAAGATACAATATTAAAAGGAGCATAGTGAAAACTCCAGAATTTTTGTAAAGGCTTGCCCCCATTGCCAACAGGTTGAAATGACACCAGTGTTGTGGTCGCAGATGGGAATAGAGACCAGGTCAATATGGTAACAATGTTTTTTGAATGATTCATAAAACATCTGTATTTATACTAGGATTAAAGTCGACAATGGTGGATCTTTTTTATTATTTAGGTAACTTACAAAGGTGTGTATTTGCATCAGATTTTATTTAGATTAAATGGAGCAGAATACAAATGTATTTTTAAATATTTTTTTGGAATAATAACAAAATATATATTTTCTTCCATTTCAAAATAACCTTTTTTTTTTTTTTTTTTTTTTTTTTTTTACAACACTTCTCACTAAAATGATTAAACTTAATAGTTGCAACTCAGAAAGAGAAAAGGAGAAAAAAATGTGTACAAATTCTTCTGCAAGGCACTGTGTGAGAGATATCTTTGTTGACAACCTGTGATGTCAAGTTCATCTGCTTTCTTCTTTAGTGGAGGAACATCCTTCCCCTGCAGAACTTTAGCCCGTTTAACCTTTGGAAAAGCTTTCATGATCCCATGACGAGGCTCCATCTCGGCTGTCGGAGTGAGGAGCCACCGGCCTGTTCCATGAAGCGGATTGGAACCCAGCAGTGTGGAACTCTGCAGCAAAAAAAGGGTATTATTACCACAGACATTTGGAGGAACTAAAGAAGTCTTTATTCATAAAAGGCCTGAATTTTTTATACTATTGATGAAAAAAAATTTTTCTTTTTTATTTTCCCATTAAGGGAAAAAACAAATCACTGTAGAATCAGAATTCTGTAGACCTACAAATTCTAAACATGATGAAAGAAGAGGTTATCCTGAGCTATCTCTATATTTATGCTGCTATAGGTTTAGACTTCTGGAGGACATAGGGACCCCCATTTCATCATTCTATCTCTATTCTCCCACTCTGCAGAATCTGTTAGTTCAATCTCTAACGTTATGCTCTCTCTTCTTTTTCTCATAGTAGCTTTGCCTCGTCTGTTCCTGTTTGGCTGTGACACCATCCTGGAGAGAAATATCAGCTGTGCTGCTTCTGCCATCAAAACCCTTGCTTATAGATGTTGGAGATCGGCCTGTTTTCCACTGTGGTGTGTTTCTCTGACTGTGACTGGCTGGATGTGATCTCTTCATCCTCTGACATGGGAGCTGGCTCAGAGCTTGTCTGCCTGGCTGTGTGTTTCCTGGACGTTGCCGCCTTTTACAGTTCCTTTTTGTATCTCTGCTTCTGTCTCCTTGAACCCCAGTCGGCCTCGGCAGATGGCCGCTCACACTGAGCCTGGTTCTGCTGGAGGTTTCTTCCTGTTAAAAGGGAGTTTTTCCTCTCCACTGTCGCTACAAGCATGTTTAGTGTGAGGGATTGCATTCGAGTCAATGAGTCGATGCAATCAACTGGTTTTCCTCAGATAGAAAACTTTGAATCAATTTGACTGTATGATCTGGTGAGCTATAAAGTGCCTTGAGATGACATGTGTTGTGAATTGGCGCTATAGAAATAAACTGATTTGAATTGCTTCTAAGTATCAAAGTTCACTTTGAAGACCTCAAGTAAAAAAGCTGTTAAATATTAAAACTTAGGGATTTAGAAAATAAACAGTTTAAGTGTAATTTCCCACATCAGATCAAAAGGTTGGCATGGATACGAAAAGTACATCAAAACACAGTGAAAACTAAGCCATAACATGTCTATATACTGGACACTGGAGCATAAAAACAAAGCTATCCGTGGGACTCGAGTAAACATATCCTGCACAATATGATCAACTCTTTCGCCAAGAGTAAACGATTAAATAGATCTGGTCACATCACTGATATGCAGCTTGGGATCCTTAAAAGGCAAACGAAACGACTTCTTACAACTGTCTAAATCTAGCTTACCCTCCTGCTTAGTTGAAATGCAAGGGAGCTAATCTTAGAGCTAAATTCGTAGAACATTTCTTTAACATATCTGTTGCGATTCTGATGTGGATTTACAAACACAAGGAGTGATAGTGAAAAAGTGAAACCCCCAACTAGTAAAATCTCAGCTCTTACCCAGTTCTGCAGGAACCATAAACACCGCAACAACAATCGGTCTCCGCCAAGTGACGTCAATTGTTTACCTCGGGCGCGGTACACTATGCCTTTTACGCCTAAAATGGCGTCTTAGCAACAAATGTCACGTGACTGGCGGAGACCGATTTTCCTAAATCCGCCCCTGTTTTCAGGCTTATGTTAACTGTAATGACTTATCTTGGACAGGCTGCTATGTAAACAGGCCTTTAGTCCTTCGTTTAGCTATGCTGCGGTTGTTTACACTACACCTTTTACACCTAAAATGGCGTCTTAGCAACAAAAGTCACGTGACTGGCGGAGACCGATAGAGGAAGGAAAAACGTATTTAAATGTTTCACTTCCGGGTCTTTCACAGAATGCGTGTTTAATAAAAAAAAATGTTACAAATTCACACTTTTTCTTATAAACAATTAATATTTAATTTTTTAATTTCCCTTTTTTATTTTACAACTTTGTGCGAAACGATTATTTACTTTTTGTTTACGTTAACCGGTTGCCGTGGTTACGTCGTAAATCCGGAAGTCGCCCTCGTGGAAATATGGCTGTGCAAAGCTGGATCGATGACCTGAAATCCTCTCAGAAAACGGCATTAATACACGACGGTAAGCGTACTTAAGAATACCATTATGAATCAATGTAGCCTAGAATATGCCATTATTTTATTTCTGTATTTTAAGCTTTTATCTTGCTTGGTTAGCCAGTTCGTTGTCTAGTTACTAGGCAACGGACTGATGGTGGTGCTGAGCTAAGGAGACCAGTAGAAAAGCATAAGTTGGAGCAAAGCCTGATCAGGAGTTTGGTGTGCGATGCTAAAGGGCACGGGTTCATTTTTTAATGAAAGTGCTTTATTTGAATCGCACAAAAATGCAGACTGAGTTGTTTCTCAGACACCTGATTTAAATGGTCTGAATTGGTCTAAATGTCTGATTAACAGGCTTTTACAGAATTTGGGAAACATGTAAAACCGATAGAGCCAGAAACCCTGACATCAAATCTTTTTTTTCCTCTGATTTAGGGAGCTTTTACCATTTATTTTTGAAATCAAGGTTCTTGAGTCTGGATGATGTGGATGATCCACACATTTAAAATCCACTGTAAAGACATTTTATCTGCTAGTTTTGGTCTTTTGTGTTTCATCAGGTCCAAAGTCAGCACAGTCTTCTACCAGGAGGATTTAAAAATCTTTGTTTCCTTTGGCAAAGAAAAAAATATGTTTATGGAGAAGCTGCTTTCATTGCTAAACAAACCTGCCCACATTGCAATAGTTTTATAACTTGTTCAGTAACCATAGTGTTACTGTGCTCGATTGCCAGTCAGCTCTCCTAACCTAAGACTTATAGCTTTCTGATGTGTCCCAAATCCAACACACCTGATTCAAAGGAACAGATCACCTCTTCATGCATATTCTGCTGTTTTCTAATATCCTCCTTATAACTTTATATATAATTCAGTTGTGTTTACAGAGAGATGCATAAAAACAAATTTGATACCTGTGCTATAAAGGATTTTATGGAGGAAAAAGAGACACCAGAGCCAACAATGCAGATTAACTGAAGGATGATCACTCCATGCCACGTCCCACTCCTGCAGCAAATCATGCAAGTGCTGATTGCATAAAATCCTTTGGTTGAATTTTTTGCACTTTGGATCAAAGTGACAAACGAAATTGTTTTTTAGAAATTTTAGGTATTAGTTGACCACAAGAGTGCAGTATAGAGTTGTGCAAGAAACACTTTTTTACTGATCGTTCTACAGGATTTATACCTAGATAACAAAAGTTTGATTATTTATGCCCCTTTCAGTAATTGCAACTCTTAATTGAAGGGATAGGATGGTTCCAATGTCATTTTAACAATTAACTAACTCCATTTTTTTTTATATGATCCTGAAGCCTTTAAGCTTAGTATTCTTTCCCACCCATTAGCGTCATCTTTAGCTCCCTCCACTGATTCCATGACATATGAGAACCCTGGCTTTCCTCCTCCAACACATTGTGTTTCTAGATTGAAGAACCATGTTGGTAAAATTAAAATTGTTGAATCAAACCAAAACTTGCCAAGGGTTAAAATGATTTCAGGGCTTTGCTGTGTAAAATGTTGCTAAACCTTAGTACGTTTTTAGAATGCACATTTTTCATGCTTTAGTCATTGATAACAACCTGTTTAACCAGTATTTCTGTTCAAATTAAGAATCAATTTTTGAATGACTATATTTTTGTTTTGTTATATATGGTGACTGAATATGTTCCTATATTTGGCTTCCAGGGAAGAGGAAGATCCATTACCTGTTTACAGATGGAAAAGAAATGGCAGAAGAGTATGATTTGAAAACAGATGAACTCATCTGTAAGCAGCAGATTTTTTTTTTCTTTGACACATGATCAGAATGATTAAACATATCAGTTATATTTCATTTTGTTTTACAAAAACGTTGCGTGTTTCAGGCAGAAAGTGGCGTCAGAAAAGCGCACTGGGAGTTCAGGGTGTTTGGCAGGTGGAGGTTGGTGAGCCAGTCAACATGCCTGCAGCTCTGGACCCTGATGTCATCAAAGAAAACTGTTCCAACGTGGGTTTTTCATATTTATTCATTTATGTTTTGTGTAGTACATTAAAATCATTAGCTTTCTAGAATTAAGCAGATCTTTAATCTGTTTTGTCTCCGCAGCCATTATTCATGCGTAAAGACACAAAGAACAGCTTTCAGTGGAGAATCCGGAACCTTCCCTACCCAAAAGACGTCTTCAGTGTTTCCGTGGAACCCTCTGAGAGATGCATCATCATAAAGACTACAAATAAAAAGTAATTTTGTTTAAAAGCACCTGCTCTTTCCTAAATACCACCTCACTTGTATAATATGCTTATTGGATGCAGGTTTATAATCTTTGATTTTTTACAGTGCTGTTTGCAGTACATTCAATAGCTCTGAAGCTGCATGAAGTTTGTGATTGTATCATATCTTTTCAGGTATTACAAGAAGTTCAATGTTCCTGATCTGGATCGAAACAAGCTGCCACTCAGTGCATCTGCACTCAGTTACACACACGCCAACAATACTTTAATAGTCAGTGTAAGTCACACCCAGCGCCCCTTTATTATTTTATCTCTAATGTTTACCAGTTTAAGAAAGGAAGAGGAAAAAAAATTTAATTGTACACTGCAAAAAATGGAAATCTAAATAAGTAATTTTTGTTCAAATTAAGTGCATTTTTTCTTGAATTTAGGAGGTAAGTGAGACTCTTTGCCATTGGAACAAGATAATTTACATTTAAAATAAGAAAAAAAAACAATTGCTTTTTCTTATTTCAAGTGTATATTATCTAATAATCTTATTTTAGGAGTAAAAATACTCATTCCATTGGCAGATCATCTTATTAACCTGCTTAAATTAAGGGTAAATACACTTAATTTAATACATTTTTTACTTATTTCTAGATGTTTTTTGCAGTGTTGGAATAAATCTGTTTGATCTAAAGTTCAGGACAACAGGTCTGGTTTAAAAAAATTGTAAAAATGAAAAACAAAATCCAAAGGATGTAAGATTATAAGTAAAGAAATATTGTACAGTTTAAATTTCTTTACACTTCTTACTGCTGTAACCACAAACTGTATGACAGTCTGGGGGATTTTGTGTGAATACTAAGCAAATATTCATGAAGAGGAGAGAAATGCTGCACATTATTCCAAATTTTTACAGATAAAATTAGGAAAACTGTGATTTAGGGTTTTTTGTCTACTTTCCTTTACTTTGATACACCTCAACAAAATCCAGATTGACCTACTACCTTTCTAGATGGCAAATAGAGCTAACCTCTGTCCAATTTAATCTCAATATAAATTCAGCTGTTTTGTGTAAAGTGCTCAAACAAACATCCGGACAATATTCAAAGCGCTGAACATGAAACGGAGGACTGTTTAATCCATTATCTGCTAAATGAAAGAGCTTGGAACAGCAGCAAACCTACAAAGAGATGGCCGTCCACTTAAACTGACAGGCTGGGAAAAGTGAGCATTATCAGGGAGCTGCCAAGAGGCCAATGTTAAGGTGTTATGGAGCTACTCAGTTTGATTAAGACACAACTATGATTCGTGAACTGCAGAAATCTAAAAAGCCATAGTTGAAATGCAGCAGTTAAAAATGAAATGATCAGTTTGCCACGAGCCATGCAGGAAACCGCAAACTTGAAAATGAAGGAGCTCTTTCCAGAAAACTAACTTTTAGCCAACACCACGCCATTGTGAGGAGGAAAACTAACTGTGTCAATCAGCCTTGATGCAGTTAAAAAAACATGCAGCCAATCAGGTGGCTGCATGGTGGAAACAATGATGCAGCTAAAGAAACAGTGAATTGGATACTTGAGATTGGATTTTCAAAGATGCTCTCTTTTAAAGAGAAGACAAGAAAAGAGTGTTTATTTAGCTAAACACATATAAGGCCTGCTGCCATAATTGCTTTGAAAGGTGCCTCTACAAAATTAGAAATTAAGGGGCTAAATGCATTTAAAGTTGTATTTTTTTTAATGTAAATGTTTATTTAATTGTATTATGTAGTGCTTTGCATAGCTATTCTACACAAAATACAGATAAGGTATATTAAAGTCTGTGAATGGCAAAATGAAAAAGTTCCAGGGGCTTTGAGTACTTTTGTTGCTGTACTACGAGGACAGGTTTGTTTTATTTTTATCATCCCTCTAAAATGTTTTTTTTTCTTTCTTGTTAAATCAGTTCTTTGTTTCTTTTCTAACAAAAGGTTAATTCTTGTATAGAAATAATTGTAAAAGATTTCCACACACTGGACCAAGCCTCTCTTTTTTTTTTTCCCAGTACCAGAAACCCAAAGAGATTTTAACCCTCGAACAGGAGCTGCTGAAGGAAGTGAAGAAACTGAAGGGGACGGGTGAAGGGGACGTTGACTGTAAAACCCATTGAATTCTGAGCGTGATGAAAAGAAAATGATAGAGGACTGCATTCAAAGCAGCAGCCAAGGGATTGTCATTTCCCACTTTACTTGCAAGCTTATGTTTAAGCTTTTTCTAGAGGATCCCTTTGTTTGGGTTCTCAAAGCCTTGTTTCTGGTCTAGTGATTTCAGTTTTGGTGTATAATCGCTCCCTTGATGTTAACTTTATAATAAAAAATTATACCTGCATTTTGCCATTTCATAACTTGATTTATTAGCTTTGCATGCTTTGTATATTGCTCTAAGTCATGTGTTTAATTCTTTAAGAATATATTATTTTACTTGACTTCATTTGAAGGTGTTTTCTTGTTTTGGTGGGGGTAGCAAGGAAGGTCACATAACCTACCACCTTCCTTTCACCGATGTCCTTGTAAAACACTCTGGACACACAATGCTTTATGTTTGTTCAGAGGTCACGGTTACGACCACGTCTCATTTGTGTTAAATGAATTCCCTCATGTTGTTTGCTTGCTATTGGCCACCCTGAAAGCCATCAGAGAGGCTGGTTTTACTGTTTCCTGTTACAACGCATCAGTCTGACTAGGGTTGCGGTTGAAATGCTGCAAAAGCTGAAAATAGATGGGAATATAGTTTTAGTTTCCTTTATGAAACCATTTGATAGATAAAAATGTGTTAATCTGTTCTTTTTTTACAAGAGCACACTAAAAACATCAAATAAGCATTTTTCTGACTAATTTCTTACCAAATATTGAAAAAAAATGTAAAGTAATTTAAAAAGTGGACATAAATAGCAGTAGAGGTGTTCAAATGGGACAATGGCACTTAAAAATAGTTCATTTCAAACTTGTAATTCCTTGCATTTTTTCAAAGCATGTCCAAACCCAAAAAGCAAGTGCAAAAAGCAGAGACAAAACCACAGGTCCTCTCACCATTGTGCTTTGTCTTCTTCCAGATGGAAAGGATGGAACACCAGAAAAGATTGAAACCAGTCAGTCCTATTGTTTTGCCAATTCTTTTGAGGGACTCTATATATTTTTAAACTCTAGACTGACCACACAAAAATTGTTTTTTTTTTCAAGTAAATGTGTATGAATAAAATGTTTATACTGAGTATTAAAAGCTGAAAATAATCTCTTAGTAATGGGGATGTAACTACCTGCTGATACAGTAACTTATAATGGTATTCACACTTTCAAAATTTTCTACATAGTTTGTTTGTATGACAGACAAATCAAAGCAAATATGAAGCCGAAAAGAGACAATATATGTTTCTTTTTAAAAATCTTAAACTGTAAAAAAGTGTGCTAGACCTTAGTCAGTACCATGCACTTCAGTTAGTCTTGTCATTTAGTTCTATCAGCTTTGCTCTTTTAAAGGTTTACATGTTTTCCTGTCCCTCTCTGCAAAATAACCCGAGCTCAGGGAAATTGGATTGACAGTTTCTCCTTAGTTTTTTAGAGTTGCCAAAATCTTTATCAGATTTATGCTTTGATCCATGTTAGGCAATACAGACACATTTAAAAGCTGATTTAAAACAGCTAATTAAAGCTCTGGCTGTGGGAATGTTCTGCTTGTAGGTTAACATAAATTCTCACCCACTCACTAACAACTTTTTTTTTTTTTAAACGACTCAGTTCAAAGCTCCATCCACCTATCTACTAACTCCGACCGGTTTCCCTGTCCCTACTGGCGTTAAGCATCCCCATAGAATGATGGTGCCACCACCGTACTTCACCATAGTGATTGTGTGTTCTGACTGCCAATAGGCTCACCAATAGGTAGACTCTTATTTTCATAGTACCGTAGGTAGATTCTAAAGCTTACAATGGATTTTATTTAGGGGTGTCACTTTTTGAAACCTAATTTTTACTCCACAATTAAGTGCAAGACTGAGCTGGTCAGTCACATAAAATCACAAATAAATAGGTTGTTTATGACTGTACCTAGAAGATGGAAAATCTGTATCCCTGCAGCAGGAGACACAAACAAACACATTTGACATCCAGCTCATGCTTGGTGAGAGAAGCCGAGCTGCTCTGTTTAGGGTCTTCCTCTCCCCTGTCATCTGGCCTCTGACGGTCATGCTCAACTGCTTCTGCGAAGAGAGTTTCTTTCTTGCCTCCCTTTCATTCCCGAATGCCTCTTCCCAGCCGTTCCCCCTCTTTCAGTTGATGCCACATTTTGCCACACAGGCCCTGGTGCTTTTTCCCCCTCAGCTTCCTCCCCGAATACCCATTTCCCCCCACCGCCACATACCCCTCCCCCTGTGTGACTGGCTTCTTTTTGATAACTGACCCCTCCTCGTGTTATTATTCGAACCCACTATTGTATAACATGCCCTTTTATATGAGGTCCCACAAAGGGCCCATTTGATCAGAGGGTTACGGTGTGCGATCGTGAGAAATGCAACTACATGGTGGTAACCTTTGTTTGGGCCAAAATGGTGGGCTGACCTCATCGCTTTTAATGCATAGCTCAGGCCATTCAGGCCCAAGTCTCACTTGCTGAGCACATTGAATTCAGTAGCCTGTCACAGATATTGCCCCTCAGTTATCTAGGTTTTCAGCTCGAAGAAGACGAAGAAAAAACAACTTTGTTTTTGTTTTTTAGGGTGGGGTTTGGGGGCTTTGGTATGGTAGCTTCTAGTTTTAAAACAGACATAAGAGCGCACACAAGCAGCTTATGAAATTCTTTAGTGGTTTTAATATACACTCTACAATAAATATATTCATCATTTGATGTAATTTACATTTTTACAGTAAAAATATTTCCATATATGTAGAAAAACAAAACAGGTTACATAATTCTCCAAGCGAGTGCACTGACTGAGACTGAGGGATGCTGTAACCACAGATAGCTGCCAAGTCTAGCTTCACTTTTAACATTCTTTAATGCTGAGCTGGCTAACTTTAATTCTTCATGAGATTATTGTTGAGCTCACCAGAACATAAAATGCCCTGATTTAATAACCAAGAAAATAAAATAAAACTTGCTAAAGTCTGTAAATAACTAGCAGATTAGATAGTTTACATAAAACCCAGTAACCGTGAATTACATAAGAAGTCCAGAAATGAGGCAAATCGTAAGAAAGTGTGTGGTCACTTGAGTTCAACCTCTGCTTTTTCCTAAAATTGATCCTCTGGGTGGTTCTTCTTCAGCGTCCCCTGGAGCACTGCTGATGGGAATGTTTATTCCGCCTGCTGTAAGGCTGCCCTGGGACAGGCATCGGGAGGACATCGAAGGGCCTCCTATCGCTTAGTAAGTGTCCCCTAGGTAGACGCTTCATGAAGTGGGCTTCTCTCTGGTGCTGCTTGGTCTTGGAGGCCTTCCTTGGACGACCCTTGCGTGTGAACGCCATGTACCAGCCCTCGTATTTGGCATTCTGAAGTGCTGTGTAGTTGTTTTCCAAGACAATCTCTGTGAAGATGCAGTCCTTCCCTCGTCCTTTTCGCTGGTAAAGAGAAAAAAAAAACATAAGGCCAAGGGTGTTTAGGGAGCTTTGAACATAATTTCAGATTTCCACACACTTATAAAGCTAATCTTTCTGACTTCAAATGTGTCCTGCTCTTATAAGACAAGCCAAGGTGAAAAACAAACATTCGAGATGCTGCTTCACTAATTCCAGAGCACCTTGCCAATCAGCTTCCCTCTCTTGGTCATGCATATATAGTATCCCGTCTTCACTCCTTTGATACGAACTCGACTCCCAAAGGAATCTGTCTCCACCTCCAGCTTAGCTGCACAGACAAAGAACAAGAAGAAGACAATATAAACACAATGCCAGTAGAATAGAGTCACTAAATGGTGCTGCTCAGATAGAATAGTTAAAATTATATGGATTCCCTCTTTATCTCCTATAATCCAACAGCTGCTTTTAACAGTAGCAACAAAGCCTTTCTGAAATAGCACAAATGCTAGTGATTTCTAATGACCTGACTGTGCTTAGTGCCTGTCAAACACTGGGCTCTGTGTTGCTCAGGGGGAATAAGGACAGTGAGAATGCTGCAGTCGGAGGGAGAAAACCACAAGTACGGAGCAGCGGTCGGCTTGTGGGCTTGTATATGGGAGAAACTCCCACTTAGGTGTGCAGCTGAAGCGAGCAAAGCTGCTCTCTCTGTATGAGTGTAAAGAGATTTAAAAGGTGCACACAGAAGAGGAAAGGAAAGAAAGATGCTGACTTTAACCACTGCTTATAAACTGAGTCATACATTGAGTTGGAAAGCAATGAAAATTCCCTATAATGTCCAACAGGCTCAGAGTTTGCAGGTGGGAGGATGGTGGTGGGAAGATGGGTGGAAGGAGGGCCAGCCTGAGGTTCTATGAAAGCTTATGAAAAATTTGATAGTGGATTAAGCTGCAGGTAAAACCATGCCCTTAATCAAACAACTTTATTCCACTGTTTAACACCTACAGTTACACCCCCCCCTTTTCATACAAGTTCAAAAGTTTGGGGCAATTTAAAAGTAAATGGCAAAATAATAAAACACATATTCAAGATTTTTTTCCTAACAAGTAGACTCATCATGCATTAAATGGAACCTTCAAATAAAGCTTTTAGATAATGCTCAATTAAATTGGGGATTGGGAAGCAGTCATTTATAGCACTTCCTGCTACTTTATTTTACTTTTTTCTATTTAAAGTTCAGTATTTAAGTCTATACATTAGTTACTATAGGGTAAGCAATATTAACATTTAAATACATTAATCTTGAAATAACGTTTTACACATTTTTGGAAAGGAAAAACTAAAGTTGGCATATAATTTAAAAAATACTGTTTATAAATGTAATATTTACATAATCAAATGTCAAAAGGAATCTTTTAACATGTATTGAATGTCCAATAATCATAAATGAAGAGCACATTCTTCAGAGTGCACAATAATGAAGAGAGTTTTGTTTAGTCCAGTCAAATAGTTAATACTTCATTGTTTTCTTCCTCTCTGGCTAATTCCAATGCACTGTAAGTTCTTTTTCATGTTTTTTAAATAATTACCAGCTTAATTTAGTTTTTAGTTTAGTTTGCATGAAAGAATACATCGAATATACAGTGAAAAGATGTTAAAAGGGAAATAGAGCTCAGGAAGGGGCGAAAAGCCATTGGGGCTTATCTAAAGCCTCCACCAAAAACAATTAAAACACATGCAAATTCAAAGTAATAAGATTATATACAGTGGTAATGGAGCAATAACAAACAGAGTATTACTAAGAGTGTTAGTAATTACTTTGTGCACCCATTTATAAACATGTATTAGCAGCAATCTTAATTAGAAGTTTATTCCCAAATTATTTGATAAAGATGTTGATGGTTTGTCC